GGAGACTTCTAACTGGTAATTTTAAGTATGGTCATTCTGATCCACTACCACTTACAAAACTACCCTGCTTTCTCCAACAAAGTTTCCTACACTATAGATTTTCTGTCACACACGACAAGCAATGCAATACATTTGGTAAAATGTCCCTGAAAACCACAAGGAGTATAAAACCAACTGCTAGTTTCACCAATGCAATGTTGAACATCTGCTCCAGGACATAGTTCCAGAAAATGGTGACATCTTACTACAGTATACTATCCTAATTCTTCCAAGATATTTTTATATTAGGTCATTTGAATGAGAGTGAGGTATTTTATTACACAAGTAAGAGCACCCAGAACCTCCATAACCATTTCTAAACTGCTTTAGTAGCCTAAATCACTCCCTGCCTCCATAACTTTGGTGCTGCTGTGGCAATGACACCCCACCACAATCAAGCCCTTTGCCAAAACCAAACCATCCTTTCAGGCCTAGCTATGGCATGACATGCAGCAGCACAGCCTTTAATGCAGTGGAGGAAAGGAAGGATTTAAGAGCTTTCCCTTTGCATGTGGTAAACCCAACCACCTTCAGTAGAGCTGTACAGTGTTGCTCTTATAATATATTAACAGCATCACTTAACTTTCACCAATTCAAATACACAAATCAGCATTCAGTTAAAGTATTTCATCACTGGGCAAAGAAAGAAGGCTGCTTGCTCTTCATTTTGACACGGAAGAATGATATATATCGCTCTGAATATTAAATATTTATTTAATCTTGGATTTCATTTACAATTTTTTTCATTTTTTAATCACTTGCAGAAGTCTTGATAGCACAGCAGTAGCCAAAGTCTTTCTTCTTGCTCTTTTGAACTCTGTTCCATGTCCATAAAGACTTAATCACATATGAGCCTCGAATTAATGCTAGGCAACCAACATTATATTATGCAGATAAAACCCATTTTTGTCCTTTAGAATTTTCTCCACTCACAAGAGGCCTGATTATTTTTCATTTTAACTACCTGATTATTTTTCTATTTTTATGGTTTTCCCTCTCATTTGCAGGTATTTGGGAATATCTTTCAACTGAAAGATGTTAAAGTTATGCAAAGTGCATACCTCTCAACTGCCCTTGATAGGGGAGGGAAGTTAAACTTCAACCTCAGCAGTGAAAGTAACAGATTTTGTCCTGCTTCCAACATTTTAGCAGGTATAATCAGAGATTGGCCATGATCAACTCATTGTGAAACAACAGGACAAGGGGATCTCATGTGCCATCAAGTCCATTCCCCCTGTAGGCAGACTTTTAACTCATTTTTTTATAATGATAGACAGTTATGTAGGTATTTTGCTTTCATAGCTGTCAGAGGACTGTTCCAGAGCTTTACCCTTCTGATGCTCAGTAATCTTCAATCCCTTCAGGTGGGGAAATGCACCCAAGTGAGATAATTACTGTGACTGTATCAGTATGAATGGCATTTTACAAGCATGACCCCTAACTGGAACTTAAAGGCAAACATGACAAGAGGTGGGAAAGGAAAGGAGCTCTTTCTGGAGAGGAATCAGAGCTTTGGAGAGAGGAATACTAAAATCACAGGTTAAAAAATGCAAGCATGCATGCAAGGTCTTCTCTCACTTCTGTTAATTTAATTTTGTGAAATATCTTTTCAAAGGTGGATTCTGTTGTGGAAAACCAGAAAAATAGTAGGATTTTTTCAAGAGACAACATATAAAGAGTGATAGGTGCCTTGCTAAGCCCTTCCTTCTTTTACAGACCTTGTATTCTTTGAAAACAGCCCTCCGGATTTTCTTTTGGCTCTGCTCTTTACGTGTCTGTCCTGTATAATCTTCAAAAGAGAGAAACTGTTGCTATCCATTGTTCTGGCATGCGTACCATACCATCCTGAAGGTACAGTCATCACAAATATATGCAGAGACAAGATGTAAAGCAGATATTCCTGTTAAGACTCTGACACCATCAGTCTGGAGTAACCTTTCTACCAAAATGACCAGTTTTCACAGAGGGCTGGAGCACCTCTCCTGAGAGGAAAGCCTGAGAGAGTTGGGGTTGTTCAGGCTGGAGAAGAGAAGGCTCCAGGGGAGACCTTATTGTGGCACTTGAATACTTAACGGGGCTTATAAGACAGACAGTGACAGAGTTTTTAGCTGGGCCTGTTGTGATAGGACAAGGGGCAATGATTTTAAAATAAAAGAGGGTGGATTCAGACTAGGTATAAGGAAGAAATTTTTTACAATGAGGGTGGTGAGACACTGGCACAGGTTGCCCAGAGAGGTGGCAGATGCCCCATTCCTAGAAACATTCCAGGTCAGGTTGGATGGGGCTCTGAGCAACTTGATGTAGCTGAAGATGTCCCTGCTTATTGCAAGGGCTTCGACTAGACGACCTTTCAAGGTGCCTTCCAAGCAAACGACCCTGTGATTCTATGATTCTATCCATCAGAAGGCACTTAGCAGTCTCATTTGTGTCTCCCCACGTGCACTGCACGGAGCTCACTCACAAATGGCCACCCAGCTGGCAGCGATTCGGGATTTCAGACCTAAGGCAGGGGCTCTGCCACCCTGCGCGCATTCCCGAGGCCGGGACGCGCGAGCAGCGCTGGGCGAGGGGCCGCCGCCCGCGGGCGGTGCAATCCCTGCCCGCGGAGCCCGCGCTGCTGGAGATCGCGCAGATACCGGGCGGGAAATCACTGGGGCCGAGTTTCCTTCCGCAATCACACACCCCGCACTACACATACGCTCTCTCCACACACACGTGCGTTTTTCTAGTTCTCTGGACACGCACAGAACTCAACACCTCCCCCGCCACTTACCGAGGGGCCGGGCCGGGGGAGGCGGGCACCACGGAC